GAGGTTCTGCTGAAAGTTTGGACAGTTCTTGGCATGGCATCTGGGGGGCCCTTTAGAAAGTGGTCCCTCCCAGCTGGCCCAAGGAGAGAGCCCTGTCGGGGGGCCAGCATCCTGCTGGACGAGATAAAGGGGTTACTGTGGGAAGCACTGGGATTGCTCAGGAAGCACCAGGAACATGAAAGATATGTTATGTGTTCTTCAGTCCCCAGAGAATCACCACCCAGCGTTAGACTTGGCAAAAGCCTTTCCGCTCCTTCTCTGAGCCGCCTTCTTAGAAAAGACGCACTGTGTGAATACTGAATGCCGGGCGGCCGTGGCAGTGTGCTCCCAGACGCTCTCCCACAGCCCACAGGAAAGCAACGTGGAGCTGGGAGGCGGGGCAAGGGTGCCGTGTGCTCAGGGATCCGGCAGCACCTACCTGTCTCCAAGGTGACACATCCGGGCCCTTTTTCCAGGAGGGCCTGTTGTGAAACTTTCTGGAATGTTTGTATTCCTTCAGAGATTTGTAATTAAGAAGAGGCAGAACTAGTTCTTACTTGGCGCCTTTCCTTCCCTCCCTCCCTCCCGCCCTTCCAGCATTTGGGTCATTTGATTTCACATTGGGGTTTTCAGCAGCTTAGGATGTGGAGGCCGAAGGCTGGGACTGGATTGGGGTGGGAGCGCTTTATGGGAGGGTGGGAGCTAGGAGTTCCAGGAAGGCCCCCAAGTCCTGGCCACATCTGAAAGCGGATGTCTCTTCCCAGCATGCATTCTTGGCACTTGCCCAAGGGGAAATGTTGCAGACCAGAGAAGCACCCACAGTTTCCCAAGGGGACTGGTTGAATCAGTTCCTCTCTCCGGCAGGGACAGGAGTATGTGCACGTGTATATACGTGTGTGTGTTTAAATCCTTATGCATCTCAAAACACTTCTCTTCATCCTGATTCTCTGAGTGACACGTCTCTGCACACTGAATAATTCATCTCCCTCTTGGCATTTCTTCCAGAGAGATGCTTGCTGTCCAGATTTCTTGTAAGTTGCATAGTCTTCTAATAGAAGCTTTCTCTTTCCCATGGAAGAGCCCTAGGAGTCAGGATATCAGCCCTCTGCTTCCCCCCATGATTGCTTTGAAGGGAACCCTGAATATCAAACCAAAGCCTTCCTTTCTCATCGCTCTCTCCCTAACTGGGTCCTCTTTACTCACTCTTCTTTATCCCTGTGAGGCACCACGTCTGTGTTTCCTGCTAGTGGGAATCAGCATGTCAGCATTCCCCCCACACACACACACACACCCCACCCCTGCCCCCGTATCCACATGTCAGTCTCATTACGTGTTCTTGTAGCTAACATTTATTTCAGTTCCGACCTCTTGGTGTCTAAGGCTGGAGCAATCCGTGTTCATGGTTTTCTGGAAGTGATGCCTTTTTGGTATTTCAGTCCTGCCTCCCCCAGCCCCATCTTCACACACACAGAGTGCAGTGAATCACTTGGGTTAATAACTTTGGAACGATTAATTGCCTCTTCATTAAGCAGCTGTGGAGTATCCAAGTGTACCGAAAGTTTTTGCATGGAGGCATAGATAACTGAAGGTGCAAATCCACTGGAGCCCCAGTGCCTTTTGCCTGTTTCACACTACCTCTGGTCCAGCTGGGTCAGCCGTATCTCTGACATAGCTTACTCTGTGTTCCAGATTGTTCTGAGACTCACATGTTCTCGTTCATTTTTGTCAGCAAAGCTCGGGTTTGGGAATCAGGCAGTGGAGCTTTAGATTAGACTCTGGGGCTTATTAACTATGTGATGCTGATCTTTTCTCATTTGTAAAATGGAGCAAGGGTCCCTGCTACGCGGACAGGAAATGCGATGCGTATAACATGCTTTCTAGGCCTAGATTTAGCCATTATTCAATATTTTAGTAACCATTAATACGAGTATATGAACACTACAGAGAAATTAGTAAAAAGTAAAATAAAAAAGAAAGCAATTTAAATTAACATCAAAATCCCTGTACTGAAATAACCTTTAATGTATATCTTCCCAGTTTCTCTTCTACACACGCGCGCGCACGCGCTTGCACAAAGGCAAAATATACATAGCTATACCCTGTAGATATTCTTTCAACAATGTTGTTTTTCTCATAGTAGATTGAGAGCATCCTTCCATGATAGCAAACTATAGACCACTTTGTTACATATAACATAGAATACATTGTTACTTTTTGTTCCTACACATACATTATTGTATCCACCCACTCTGCAAATATAGATTGAGCACCAATTGTGAGGGACATAGGGTTGTGTTGCTCAGATGCACCATGGATGAAGTCATGTCATTAATACCAGGGAGGGATTCTGAAAGGTGATGAGCCTTCTACAGGCAGATTCAGGGCTGCTGTTGGGAAGGGACATATCTTCGTGATTTTGTGGGTTGCAAACTGTATGTATCATAAGATTGCTCTGTCCACAGCCAGGCTGGCAGGCAGGGTTTTCAGGGCAGCGTGCAGGGAGAGAAATCAGCCAGTGAGAGAAGGCTGAGCGTGGTCTATGCTTTCCTGTTGCTCAGATTTACCTGTTTTCAGCAGTTGGGTGACCCACCGTGGAGGGGTGTGGCTATGTGTGCTTTCTCCAGAGACCCTTTCAAAGATTTGCTGGGTAAAATGATGTTGGATGAGATTTGGCTCTTGGTCCCTGGTCTTCGTTCCCCATAAAAAAGAGGGAGCAAACACTTAGAGTAAGTTTGAGGAGCGGGAGACACAGTAGGATGGGGCCTTTTGTTACTGAAATTTGGGTGAAACATGGGGTGGTGATGAGATGGGCTGAAGATAGCTTTGCAGAAACTTTATCCAGACTGGCACGGATGTACCTGATGAACAAAGTGCATTCTTAGCTGAGAAAAGTTCCCGCCACGCATGCACATGTATCTTCTCGTTTTTCATCCTTTTACTCCAAGGCAGTGGCTTGTGATTTATTTTCCTTGGGACTTGGGAGATGCATTGACAATGTCTACTTTTTTTTTTTTTTTAAGATTTGAGGGAATTAGGGAAGGGAACAGACAAGTTGCTGTCATTTTGTTCTTCAGTCTAGTTGTGGAGGACGTTGCTTCACTGGCCCATGTTGGTATTATCATTGCGCTCTTCCCGGCTGAGGTAGTCAGTTGCTGGCCATTGGACGGCAGCTCATGGTGGCTCAAGACAGCCCAATGCAGCAGGGGCTGCAGCCTACACCATCACCAGCCACTCACAGCAACCCAGCTCCAGGTCGAGCTGGTGTTCACATTCTTAGCTGTAGAGGGCGCAGCATCACTGGCCCATGTAGGAACCAAACCAGTGGCCCTGCTGCTCAGCGCTCGCACTCCCAAGCCAATTGATAACCGACTGAGCCACTCGGCCTGCCCCGAAGATGTCTACTTTTAAGAGAACTTGTTGGCTCACAGCCTTGCATCCCAGCTTTGTCGCTGACGTTGAGAATGGTATTAAGTCTTTCTTAGCCTCAGTTTCCCTTCTGGGAAACTGAGAAAACAATAAAGTTTTTCGAGCACACCAGGATCTGTGCTAGATGTTCTTACAAACATGATCTTACTTACGCTAGCTAACCGACAACCTGGAGAGTTATTATTGTCCCCACTTTTTAGATAAAAATGCTGAGGCTCAGAGAAGTTAAGTAAGTTGTCAGACTCACACAGCTAAAATAAGTAATGCTTATCAAACCCTTGTTAGAGAAGGCTTAGTTTGTTGCCTATCACACATACCTCTGTCTTCATCCTTATTATCTCCTACAATATAGCTGTAAATTCCTAACTAATAATAACTTTTGAGCTATCCATTCATTCAGTCAATAGATATTTTTTTGCAGCCGACCAGACCCTGGATAGCCAGTGGTCATGAACACACCAGGTCTCTTTACCCAGGGCTCTTAAGGCGTTGCTGTTTCCCCATGTATTTCGCTCTAAATTTGAGTTGGAGTGAGTTTAAGACGGAAGGAAAGTGCACAGGACAAGAGAGAGTAGGTTGCTGTGACCTGGAGGGAAGTTCTGAATGAGGCGTCCCAGACCCCAGCCCCGTCAGCTTTCTTCCTGTCCTGTTGAACTTCAGTAGAAAGACGGGCTAAGCTGAGCCTCGGGGCTTCCGAAATCGGCAGGTGGATTTCGACAGACAGGAGAGGGAGAAGATCCAAATATGTATTTTAGGCAGCGGCAGTAACGGGGAGAAGCCAAAGGAACTGTCTGGAGGGGCCCCTCAGTCTGACTTTTGTATATTTGGATTCCTGGCTCCCTGTTCTCTGGCTAAAATACTTGACCAGTGTAATCTGTCGTGTTTTCCAAGCTTGACAAGCCTTTGTTCATTTAGTTGGGTGATTTCTTTGTTTGTCTGTCTGGGTGATTACTGCCACTTCACTCCCCCTGCCAAGATGGGTACTTAGAGGGTGGTTATTGCCACAAGATCAGTTTGGCCTGGATTATCGAGGCAAGGCCATCAGTGGGCACAGGCATTCGGGAACCAGCTCAAGAGGCAAACAAATACTGCTTTTGGCCAAACTCACAGGGATGGGACATCTGCCATTCTAGATGCTGCTACTGCTGCTTTCCAGAGGGGAAGTGGGCATGGCAAACATGGGCCAAGGCCCGGAGGAAGACTGGAGGATTGGGGCGGTGGGGGGGCGTGTGTGTGTGAGTGAGTTGCAGTGGAGAAGCCAGAGAGGGCTGGAATCCAAGCCCAGAAGCAGGACTTGGCTTTCAAGCCCTTTCCTGCAAAGCCCTCTGTTCGAGATGCAGAAACAGAGGCCCAGAAGAGGAAGATGACCTGCTCAAATTACTCTTCGTTAGTGGCAGAGCTGGGACTGGAACACCGATTCCCTGCCTCCCCCCATGTGTTCACCTTCCTGGGACAGCAGGGGCAGATCTGGGGTCAGTGCAGCGTTTCGGCTGTGTTGGGCCAGCCCTGAAGAGCAGCAGGAAGGCCAAGAGAAGCAGCGAGTTGCAGGGACTTGGGGGCTGTAGGCTGATGCGCTCTTCTTCTCTCCCCGCCAGGTACACCAAACCGCTCACCTTTGCCGACTGCATCAGTGATGAGCTGCCGCTAGGATGGGAAGAGGCGTATGACCCACAGGTCGGAGATTACTTCATAGACCACAACACCAGTAAGTTCCTGGTCATCCTCCTCTCCCTGTCCGTCCCCTTTCCCATTCCCCTCCCTGTCCATCCCCCAACCCCCCAAATCTGAAAGAGCTACCAGCAAAGCTTCTTAAAGCCAGGTTGTGTTTTGTGTTATTATAATAGTTCTATAGAGATGTCAATATAGATATAGATAATGTATGCTCATATAAAAAGAACAGTTTAGAAAAGTTTTAAATAGAATCCGAAACTCCACCTCTTGCAACCCATCCTATCTCCCCAATTTCACAGAGCCAACCTTTGCTAACAATTTCTTACGTGACATTCCAGAAGTTTCCCAAACGTGTGTCTTTATGTGTGTATATGCGTGTATTCTTTTCTTTTCTCCGTGTGTCAATTTACTTGCGTAAGATTTTTTTTTTTTCATAAAAGGTAGAGGTGTCATTGTCATTGCCAGATCATTCTGGAGCAGCCAGAGCCCCAGCCGTTCCCCAGCAACATGCACACATTTGTGTCCGTAGTGGATTGGGGTGTGTGCCTGTAACCCACCAGTCAACCCCGCTCGCTTTGCATCTGTGATCCAAATACCCCGATCCAGAGTAAAGAGTCCCAGCGTCTTTCTCTTTGGGGCGGTGATGGAGGAATAGGTGGAGTAGGGAGGAGCATATGTTGTCTGACAGGTGGAGGAACCCAGGTTGTGGTCCCACAGCCAGGAGAGCTGGATGTGTATTTGGGCCTCGTCCGTTGTGTACCTCCTCGGCTAAGACTCCTCCTGTCCTCTAAAATTTGCTGCCCCATTGGTTTATGTGCACAGAGGAAAGAGGATTTTTCTGTCTCACTCTCAGCCTTCTGAACGAGAAGATCTCCTTTGTCCTTTCAGGCAGGAGGAGAATGGAATGAGATGAGCCATGCCTGGCAAAGCCTGAAGGCTGAGACTTGGGCTCCAAATCCTAGCAGCCCATTCACAGAGCATAGGCCCTGTGCCCTGTGCTGGGCCAGGCATCTCGAAAGGCCTCATCTCATTTAATCCTCTCAGCTACCCTGAGGGTGTCGGATGATTATCCCCATCTTATCAGTGGGACTTAGAGGGAGTAATGGACCACTCCATACTCAGCTAAAACACAGCGGAGCTGGGATTTGAACCGGCACTGAGGAGCGGAGCTGTGCTTCTCCGTCCACTTCCTCCTCCAGGTTTTGTTAGCCCCTGGCCATACGTCTGTGTGCCCCTTGTCACGCTGTAGCACAACCACTTACCCGTGGCTGCAAGTGTTGCTGGAGTAGGACAGTGTCTCACTCATGTCTCTCTAACCCCAGGCCTTTGCCTGGTAAGACACACAGTAGGTGTGTACTTGACCTCTGCTAAATACAGAAAGGTCTATGTGCATGAATGCACGACTAAAATGGGTGAATGAGCGGACGGCCGTTGGCACCAAAGTGTAGATGAGTTTCTGAGAGACAGCTAATGGCATTAATTGCATTGTTGGGGGTAGCAGAGCTTTTTATTAGCTCTCATGATTGCATACTGGCTAATGAGAAGTAAATATGCCTAATTGAGTGGGTACGGGAATGAGGTTAATGCTGGGAGGGCCGCATGGCGTGCTGGGTTGAACACTGATGTACAGGAACCCTAATCAGTCCTTTCCTGTTTCTAATTGCTGAGTGCATCCCCCTCATTAAAATCTGATGGCGGGAGTGGGATTTGAAGGTGCTTCTGGAAGACGTTGGAGAGAGAGAAGGAAGGAAGGAAGGAGCAGCAGGCAGTCCAGAGTTTATTGTTGAGGGGATGATGGCAGCCATGGGGTGGGTCTGTGGCAGGGAGTGAGTAAATGGGGTCAGAATAGGAAGAGTTCTATCGGGTAGTTTCTCCAGCTATTAGGCTACTGGTTTCCTTTTGGTTTGGAGGTGCCCTCACTGCATGGGGGGCGCCACCTCTTTAGATGGAGCCAGTGACACAAATGCAACATGAAGGTGACCATCGAGGCCCAAGCATTCAGAGCCGTGGACTCGGACCCATCCCCTGTGTGTGTGTGTGTGTGTGTGTGTGTGTGTGTGTGTGTGTGTGTGTATTGTTCACTGACTGAAACTAGTCTCTTAAGAGTTATAGATGCAGTAGGATTGAACAACAAAATAAATCCACCATCTAGGATTCCTTCATTCAGCAAATGTTTATTGACGACCTACCATGTTCCAGGCTCTGTTCTGGGAGCTTGGGGTACATGAGAGGAAAATGATCTCACCCTTATAGAGCTTTCATTTTGGCAAAAGAGAAAATAAGCAGAGAAGAAATAAGACGATTATGTAGTATGTTAGAAAATTATCAGTATTATGGGAAGAAGAAAAGCAGGGTGTGGGGCCAGGGTGTGCTGGGATGAGTTTGAGGGTGGCAGAGTGGACGGGGGAAGGACTCGTTGAGAAAACGAGGTGTGAGCTAAGACTTGAAGGAAGTGAGGGTCCATTTGCTAGACAGAACAAAAACTAAGGTGTGATCACATTTAGCTTGCTCTAGGGATGGCAAGGAAGCAGGTGTGCCAATACCAGAATGAGTGAGGATAGCAGGGACGAGGGCATCAGGCCAGAAAACAGCAGGACGTAGGTGGGCGGTGGTCTGCCTGAAGGGTTCTTCTGACTTTTGCTCCGTGTCAGGTGGGAGCCATTGGAGAGTTTCCAGTAAGTGAGTGGCATGTTCTCCTGGTTTTAAATACCAGTAATTAATTCAAACTTAATAGCGTCCTTTGGGCTAAGCCAAACCTATCTGCAGGCTGGATGTACCACATGGCCCTGATTATACAATTTCTGGTGTGTCAGTCACCCCTGACCCCACCCACCAAGTGGGAATGATGGAGGAGTGGATACCCAGTCATGGCCATCGGTGCTTTGACCTCTTCCACGTCTGCTCAGCTTCCGGCTAGCCTCTTTTCTTTAATGTCTTTTTTGTCTTGTGACATTTTTCTCCCCCAAATTATCACTGCATATAAAATTTAAAAAATTAAAATGAAGAGCCAAGACATATTGACTGTTGATCATTTGCTAAGTTTCCTCTTAATCTTTTGCAGAACTACATATTTCTTTTGATAAATACAAAATTGTAGTTTTGCACCCTGTACTTCCACTTTTACATCAGAAGGACCTTTATGATTTATTAATTTTTCTTCAAAGATGTTATTTTTAATGACTGTATTATGTAAATATAACATACATAGTTGAGCACTTGTTTCCTGTATGACCTTGAGCAAATTACTTAACCTCTCTATGTCTCTCAGTTTTTTCTTTTTTGTAATGGGGGGTAGTGATAGAATCTCCTTTATAGGGTCAGTATAAAGATTGAAGGAATAAATAGATATAAAATAATTAGAATAGTACTTGGCATAGAATAAATACCATTAAGTGCTTGTTTTTTATTTTCATTATTATCACTATTATCATGGTTTTGTACCAATGCATCTTTGCCTGCCTGAATTTTTTATTAATTTTTATAATAAATTAGGGGGAATTATTAGTCAAAGAGTATTAACATTTTAAGGCTCTTTTTTTTTTTTTTTTTTAAGATTTTATTGGAGGAGGGAACAGCATTGGGGAATCGGGGAAGGGGAACAGACAAGTTGCTGTCCTTTTGTTCTTCAGTCTAGTTGTGGAGGACATCGCTTCACTGGCCCAAGTTGGTATTATCTTTGCACTCTTCCCGGATGAGGCAGATTGGTCACCGGCCATTGGATGGCCGCTCACGCCGGCTGCCAGCCACTCACAGTAGCTCACAGTAACCCACCGCAGCCCCGCTGCAGCCTACGCCGTCACCGGCGACTCACGGCAGCTCAGTTCCAGGTTGAGCTGTTGTTCAGCATCTTAGCTGTAGAGGGCAGTGTCACTGGCCCTCATGTGGGATCCAAACCGGTGGCCCTCTGGCGTCCCAAGCCAGCTCTTAACCAACGTGCCACTCAGTTGGCCCTTAAGGCTCTTAATATGCATGGTCAGATAGCTCTCTAGTTAGGCTCTTCTAATTTACATTTCCAGTAGGGTATGGGAGTTCCTGTTTCTTCATTTCCTCTGAAATATTAGTTATTTTACTTTACTCTTTGTCAAAACAGGTGACCTTAAGCATCTATAATGTCTTTGAGATGCTCTGTCTAGATTAGAGCTCAAGTCTAGTCTTTCTCCAAGCTGTTTTCAGACAGATTGGCTTTAGGTTTGGAAAGCAATCCTGGTTTATTGTGTGTGTGTGTTTGCTTAATCGAAATGAAGAGTCTCTGTTGTTTAATAGGTAAGTTTAGCCCGTTCACATGTATTGTGTTTTTTTTTTTTTTTAATTCATTATGCTTTTTGTTGTCTGGTAGTGGATTCCACAGGGCCCCAACCCAAGCAACATTTGTGAGGTGCTGACCTAGACTGTCTGGGGTCTGTTCCAGAAACCACTCAGATCGAGGACCCCCGAGTACAATGGCGGCGGGAGCAGGAGCACATGCTGAAGGATTACCTGGTGGTGGCCCAGGAGGCCCTGAGCGCGCAAAAGGAGATCTATCAGGTGAAGCAGCAGCGCCTGGAGCTCGCACAGCAGGAGTATCAGCAGCTGCATGCCGTCTGGGAGCACAAGCTGGGCTCCCAGGTCAGCTGTGAGTACCTCTCCCCCCGCCCACCACCCGCTCCTTCCCGCCATACATACAAGTTTCCCCTCTGTAATGGCTTTCTGTTCATTTTCTTCACAGCATGTGTCACAGCATATCTGCTTATATGCCTGTTAGTATTTCCTCCACTAGAACATACACTTTATAAGGCCAGGGCTTCCCTGCTGTCTGCAGGAGGGCAGCAGGCATGCCAGAGTCCCCCAGTGCTTCACCCCCAGGGCACTGCCATACCGGAACAGTGGCTGTCACGGAGCCCGCTGACCTCTTCCAACATGTTTTGCTTTGTTTTGTTTTGTTTTAATCTTTGACCACTATTTCTAATAACCAAATCTTTCATGTGGTTAGTGAGTGCTTACTACATGATGGGCACTCTGCTAAGGTCTGAGTTTGCTATTTCAGTTCATCCTTGTACTGACTCTATGGGCAAGTACAATTAATACCCCTTGTGACAGATAAGGAAACTGAGGTTTAAAGGGTCTTATAGCTGGTGAGAGGCAGTAAGTTCCAAAACCATTCCGTCTGTCTCCCCAACATTTTCAGTGTGGGCCAAGGGGCCAGCATTAGGCCATGGTGTCAGGGAGGCTGTGGCTTGGCTGGGTCACCAGACACCACTCCTCCCGTGTGAGCCCTCACTTTGAGAAGTTTGGTCTGCCAGGGGGACAGGGACAAAACTTATCAGGTTACTCACTGTCCCAGCCTTGCCCTTTTCCTTGGCAACTCAAGAAAAATCCCAGAATTTCAGATTATAAAAAAAGGATTATATTATACTCATTAGCTATTTCTGGGTCAAATTATGTCCCAGAAACTGTCATGAGGGTTTTAACACCTAATCTGTCTTAGCTCAGGCTACCATGACAAAAATACTACATAGGCTGCATGGTTTCAACAACAGAAATGTATCTTCCCACTGTTCTGGAGGCTGGAAGTCCAAGATCAGGGAGCCAGCATGGTCTGGTTGTGATGAGAGCCCTCTTCCTGGCTGCCACGTGGCCACCTTCTCACTGTGTCACCACATGGCAGAGACAGGGACAGCACACTGTCTGGTGTGTCTCTTCTTACAAGGGCACTCATCCCATTGTGAAGGCCCCACCCTCATGACCTCATGTAAACCAGATCACCTCCTAAGGGCCCCACCTCTGTCACATTAGGGGTTAGGGCTTCAACACATGGATTTTCGGGGACACAGCTCAGTCTATAGCATTGTCCTTACCACAGCCCTGGAAGGGAAATATTGTCCCTAGTGAAACTCAGGTTTGAAGGAGCAATTTTTTTTGTCTCTAAATTCACGTCGTCTGAAAAAAATGACACACGTATAAACCTTCCTGTTTGGGGGTCAGGATGTTTACATAGACCCAAGGTATCACCCCACAAATAAAGTAACTGATTTTGGAGGATAGACTGTATTTGCACATGGCACAGAGCTGCAGCCACCGCCTTACACAAGTGTTAAGTCAGCGTCCCCAATAATGAGGCAGATTGACATCGTAGGCCTTCTGATGTGGTGCGGTAAGAGCATCATGGAGGAGTCTTCACAAAAAGCTTACTCTGAATCGAATCATGAAGAAACAGCCAGACAAATCCATAATGGGGACTATCCTACAGGATGGTGGGCTTGGACTCTTAAAAAAAAAATTGCTTTGAAAAATCCAAAAGAGGGGAAACTGTTCTCGACTTTTACAAAAGCCTTAGGAGGCACAAACCAAATGAAAGGTTTATACCTTGATAAGACCCTGGATGGGGGACGAGGGTGGGAGGGGAGCCATAAAAGACATTCTCAGACAATTGAAACAGTTTCATGATGGCGTGGTGGCTTTAGAGGAGAATGTTCTTGTTCTTAAGATGTGCATGTCTGCCACTTAATTCCAAAAAAGAGGGGAGGGAGACTGGTGTCTGTCTAAGTGGGCAGATCTGTAGATGTCAGTGACACATTGATGGCTATGAATATGGGATCGGTTTTTTTCGTCTTTGCCATCATTTCCAGTAATTTTCCCCTTAGGACTTATTATAAACCAGACATCTTACTGAGAGAAAGAATTGGGGTGGAGGCAGGGATAGACGGAACGGATGTGGGCAAATGCTAAAAATCGGATCTAGGTGAAAGATATAGCAATAGTCATTCTATTATGCTTTCAAGTTTTCTGTAAATATATTATAGTTTCCAAAATAAAGACAGAGTGTGGAAAAGAGCCAAACGGGCAGGAGTGAAGCGTTCCTGCAGAGCAGCAACTGTGGTGGGAGGTGCCGTCTCTGTACCCCAAAGTCAGAAGTCCTGGGCTCTAGTCCCCGTTCTGTCGTTATTGTGTCCTCCTGAGGAACATACCTCGTCTCTTTAAGTCTGAGATTCCTTCTGTTTAAATAGAGAAATGTTACTAGTATGCACCTTCATCTCATGGCTCTGTGTCAGGGCTTCTCAACCTCAGTACTAGACATTTGGGCCGGGTACATCTTCATTGTATCCTGTATGTTGTAGGATGTTTTGCAGTATGCCTGGTCTCTTATCCACTAGACACCAGTGGTACTCCTGACCCCCAAGTTGTGACAACCAAAAATGTCTCTATAGACATTGCCAAATGTGTCCTCTGGGGCAAAATTTCCCCATCGAAAACCACTGGTCCAGGTAAAACAATTCCCTTAGAACATATTAATGGCTCAATAAGTATTCTTCTTGGCAGGAAACACTTTACATAATATTTTGAGTGTATGGACTTTGGAGCTGGACTACCTGTGTCCAAATCCAGGATACGCAACTTACTAGCTGTGTAACCTTGCCCAAGTTACGACTTCTCTCTGCTCAAATTCTTCATTTATAAATGGACATAATAATAGTATCACCTTCACTGGGGTGCTATGGGGCTTACAGAAGTTAACAAATGTAAAGTACTTGGAATAGTACTTGTCATATCCTTAAGCTGTCAATCAATAATAACAGTTATTATCTGGCATTATTAATTCTTTGGCATTGAAATAACAAAAAATGTTAACAGATCCTTGGAACCTATAAATCTGTGATCCGTGGTAGGGAGTAATGACACAGTCCTGTTATATGACTTCTGGACGCTCCCGAGAGCGCCATCAGGCCCAAGGACACCACTGTTTTGAATATTGAAGAACTTCCACCTGAAGGGAATAGAGTCATCTGAGGCAATCTGATCTGAGATGCCAACTGGCCAGGAATTGGAATGCCCCCCGGCCCAAGCATCCCAGTTAAAGTGACATGACCCACTTTATGTCACTTTATGACTTTCTGTGGGTTTTACAAGCCATATTTGCCTTCCAAGTAAAGCACTTCAGCCTGTCGATAGACCGGTGAGGTTGCATGCCTTACTTCTAATTCAGAGGCCCTGCTAGGGCTTGTGCGAGTTTCGCCACGGCCTTGGCTGCTGTGGGGCCTGGCCAAAGTGAGTCCCTGCTCTAGGGCGGACACTTTGTAGTCACCTCTGGTGCAATCTGTAGTTCCATGAGGAAGGAGAAGACAACTAGCATTTCATGTGCACCTGTTACATTCCTGCAGGGCAATATGCTGGCCTCGCTACACGTGTCATTTAAAGTAACCTCCCTCCCCACGCACACACACATAGACTCACACAATCCTGCAAGCTACTGCTGTTCTCATTTTACAGATAAGGAAACTGAGGCCCAGAGAGGGGAAGTAGCTTCCCCTAGGTCACCCTGGTAAAAAGTGGCAGAGCTAGTCTAGCCTTTATACCCAGGAGCACCTTACCTCAAAACCAGTTCTCTTCATATAATCCAAGTCAGCCAGTCAACTTCTAAGGTTGTTGGGCTAGACTGGGGACCTCCCATCCTCTGAAAGATGAGACCTCAAGAGCTGGATTCTTTGGGACCTCACCATGCTCTTGCCTCTCTCCAGGCCTTGGAGAGAGACAATACGAAAAATAAATCATTGGGAGCCTTGCAGTTAAAAAGGGCAGCTGAACCACCCGTCTAATTTCACTCACTCCTGAAACTAAGAAAAGATCAGATAAGAGATTTTTAAAGGCATACATACAGAAGGACAGGGAAACTTGGAGAAAAAAGAACAGCCATAAAAGGTGGCAGCAGGAAAGCAGACAGACAGGTGGCAACCTATCTGATAGAGCTGAGAAAAGAGCAAATGGATCAGGAGTGAGAAAAATCATCACTCTAGTCTACATAGAGCACCTGAAGAAGCCTTGCAAATTGGAGAAGCACCTGTGTCTGGGAGTGGGCGTGAAGTGAGGAGGGTCTCAAATATAGAGGCCTGGATGAAAGGTGTTTCTAGAACAGACTACTAGGTCTCCTTCCCAAATTGGAACAGCAACTGCCAATCCCCAACCTGGCAAAAGACTTGAGGTTTATGTTTTGGAGAATGCAAAACAGAGTTTCTGGACTACAAGATACAAGGTAAGTTGAATTCCAGGGTGTACTATACTGAAAACGTGATTAAGTGAATGTGGACAGACAGGATTTTGAGACTCCAGCCACATATACTACAGTCATACCTTGGTTTGCGAGCATACTTTGTTCCGGAAACAAACTACTCATATTGCAAGACATCACTCGTTTACCACATTAAAATGTACTAGAAATGTTTGCTTGTCTTGCGGAATACTCGCAAACCATGTTACTTGCAATCCAAGGTTTTACTGTACTTGGTTCCCAGAATGGTGCCAGGCTATTGACCTCTAGGTTGGACATAGAAGAGTCTGGGGAAATCTGAACAGAGAAAAGAGATGAAAAGATGTAAAGACACTGACACTGAAGAAATAGTCCAGCCAAATCATATACCACATATCCCACAGTCAACAACTCTACTCCAGTCAGCTTTTTGGGCTCTCACTCTTAAATGTGAGCTAACAGCTGGGATTCCAGACATTGAGGAAAGACTCGAGCATGAACAATAGAGATTAAAACAAACACATGGTGATGGGAGGGTCTCGGAGGGGACAGGGACTATATTTGGAGAAGAAAACTTGGGGAAGCAACACAACCATGAAGCAAGAACAGGAGGCTACGTCTTATCAAAAGGAACCTCCAGAGAACATGAAAGAGCCTTTGGAAATTAAAATATGGTAGGAATGAAAAATCCATAGGTAAAACTGAGGAAATCTAAAAAGGAGAAGAAAAATACAATGTGATGGAAAATAAAAGGGGGAAATGTAGAGCACCAGGCCAGGAAATCTAGTTTCTGAATAATAAAAGTTCAGATAGATCAGAGGAAGTGGGGAAAGAAGCACCAGTGAAATTATACAGAAAGATTTCCCAGAACTGATGGCGAAGGGTTTTCAGATTGAAAAGGCCCCATGAATGCCCAACACAGTGGATACAAGTCAACCTCAGGAAGACATAGCATTGTGCACCTTCAAACACTGGGAACGATTCGACATCCTAAAAGCTTTCAGAGAGAAAAACCAGGTCACACAAAAATTATTAGGGCTCAGAATAGCTCCGGACTTCTCAGTGGTAACACTGGAAACCTAAAAGGCAAGGGAGCAATGCCTTCAAACTTTGCAGGGTAATAATCATTCCCGACCTAGAATTCTATATCCAGCAAAACTACCTTGAACCAGGTATAGGATAGAATAAAGGTATTTTTAGACATCCAAGAGTTCAAAAAAATTACTTCCTTTGGAGTTTCCTTCTCGAGAAGCTACTAGAAGTGGTGTTCTACCAAGATGAGGGGCTAGGCCATGAAAGAGAAGACATGGTGTTTAGGAAGGAGGAAGGGAGGGAAGTAGGGAAGCTCAGGATGCCAGCTGTGCGGGCAGAATGAGCAGCTCACACTGAGGCCGCCATACACCTGGGTGAGGCAGAGCCAAAGCAGCGGTTCTCAATCTGTGGGTCGCGACCCCTTTGGGGCTCGAACGACCCTTTCACAGGGGTCGCCTGAGACCATCGGAAAACAAAAAGATATTTACATTACGATTCATAACAGTCGCAAAATTACAGTTACAGAGTAGCAACGAACATAATTTTATGGTTGGGGGTCACTACAACATGAGGAACTGTATTAAGGGGTCACGGCATTAGAAAGGTTGAGAACCACTGAAATAGAGGAACCCGGTAGAATGGGGCCTACTGGCCTGGACTCTGAGAGGAGATTGAGTTAACTGGCAGACTGTGAGGTTGAATCAGTGATAAGTTTGTAGACAAATGTAAAAAATGACAATTATTAACTCTTGGAAAAATAAATGTGCTTGGAAAGGAAAAGTAAGCAAGAGGCCACATGCCTCTGCCCCAAATAGTGTTTACAGAGTAAAAGCAGTGCAAATACAGAAGATTGCTGTCACCCAAATTATGCTGTCTCAGGGTGGGAGGGGGGGGTTGGCGGGGCTGGCAGGGTGCTCGAGTGTGGTGTTGGGGCTGAACAGAGAGGGAACCTAAGGCTTCATTCTCCAGAGAGACAAGTAAATAAATGAGGCCTAAGACTGAAAAATAATCAAGAAGCAGCAACACGAGCATATTGCACACATATAAGTGGATACCCGAAAAACTGGCTCAAAACTTTGAAATGGCTCCCCTATAGGGAGTGAAATATGGGGATAGGGGCCTGTGGAATGCTCTTTTTTTAATAGCAAAACTCGTACTGTATTGGACCATTAAACTGCATTCATATATAACTTGAGTAAAAACTAAAAATTAAAAACTATAAAAAGGTGAGACTTTAAAGGCGGTCTCTAAGGTCCTGCTCAAGTGTAAATTTCTTTTTGTTGGAGGGTTAGTGAGGGGACACGGACACAGAGGCAAAGCTGATGACCTGTTTCTTGATTGGGGTGCTAGTTTCTTGAGTGTGTTTTTATGAGAATTTGTCCAGCTGCCCACATACAATTTGTGCACTTTTCCGTATGTATTGTTTTACTTTGATAAAATGTTTACTTAAAAATGGTAACAGGCCACATCCCGTTTCAGCAGCTTTGGATACAAACAGTGCATTGCTCAATGGTGCTCCAGAGGATAATACTTCAAGCCCCGGGTGCCCAGGTGGCGGAGTCTGTTCTTTTTCCTCCAGGATTTCTGAGCATGCCCAAGGGACATTCCCACATTCCACAAGTGAGCCCTGGCAATGCTGGTCCCTGCAGCCACCCTCTCCGTGTTAGGGGCAAGTCTTGTTTATGGGTTCTCTCAGGCTGCTACCACGCTCATCTGAACCTTTCCCCGAAGTGTGGACCCAGGTCCAGCTCCATGGCCTGATGAGCGGGATGGTTAATAGGACAGGGCGCTCACAAAACAGGCACCCCCTTTTTGCGGGTATTCCCATCTCATCACTGGAGATGATGCTTATTTTGTCCCCATGTTTTTCTTATTGATCAGTGGGTAACAATAGTATTAAGTACCTTAACATTTTGTTGAGTGCCTATCTGGGGAATAGGCTGAAGTCACTGCCTCCAGCTCTGCATCCGACCAGGTTTCTCCCCCAAACCCCCAAGTCCGGCAAAGACCAGAGAGAGGAGTTAGAATGCAGGAAGTGGAAGGTTCCATTTGGAAAGGAAGCATCCCTGTGCTTGGAGTCCCTGTACCATGCTCACCCACCACGATGGCTACAAGCCCCCCCTCCCCCCAATCCCAATGTCTCCCCTCCTCATCTCTTCTGGTAAAGCTCAGCCTCAGGCATCCTCCTCACCCTCACCCTCACCCTCATCATCACCATGGTAAACCCGGCAGAAATGCAGCACTGCCCACGGTGCAAAACATCCTCTCTGCTGTGATGCCAGGCAGTTTCAGCGCTCTTTTCCCGAACTTCCCAGCGTTCCATTGTAACTTTCCTCGTGCGTAATCAAAAGGCCCATTCAAGTATTTTGACCAGATCTGAAGAGGAGCATCCCCTCCAGTCTGTGTATCCCCTTCGATTTCTAAATAAGCTTCTTTATCCTCGGAAAAATCCAGGCGCTAGCAGGTGGTCTCGCTCCACAGGACTAGGCAGAGTGATGGGGAGCTGCCGAAATTGCTCACACGTGGGATTGAGGGCTCACCGGAGAAAGAAACACTTCTCTGGCCTCCCTACCAGGAATGACGGTCCTTTTCCCGGACAGCGGGGTTGTGTTCACCTCAAGGACACCATTGATCCTTTATTGGCCCTGTTTCCCTCTTCACAGCACCAGTTAGGAAGCTCACCCAGGTCTGTGGCGACTGGTCAGGAAGTGGGACCTCATGGGACGCAGCGAGCCCTAACCTCACGCCTATCGCCACGTTGCTTCCTCATTCTTAATTTCCCTTTTGTCTCATTTTTCTTTAAATGGATTTTACTCTGTTGTGTTTATTTTTGTAAGCCCTTAAACTCCTTTTTTCAAGACATAACTATTTTTAAAATGCAGTAAGATGACAGTTACGTGATGGAGCTGTAGATAAACACTGGGGAAAAAAAATCATTGTGTTAGGACAATAGGATTATGGGTAATTTATTTTCCTTTTCAAATGTACCTTAATATGGTCAAGTGCAATAAGTAATATTTTTAGTAATTTTTTTCTGATTGTAAAAATGTGTTTGTGTTAGAAAATGTGGAAACGTAGAAAAGATAAAAACACAAAGATGAAAATTAATAGTAGCCATCATCCAGATTTCTAGATAGCAATGTTATCTTTTTGGTATATTTCCTTCTGGTCTTTTTTTTATATGTATATACATACACATATATGTATTTGTTTACTGTGTATATTTTCCATATTTAAGTTATTTATAATTTTTTATAAACTATCATTTTTATGTAAGTTTTGGACCTTTTCTCTTTTGTTCAATACTCTTCTCAACCATTATATTAAATCATGCAAGTTGCATAGTCCCTGTTTTATGCATGTACCGTATTTATTTAACAAACTGCCCTTTGTTTGGACATTGAGGTTGGTCACTACTTACCGGTCATTCCTTTCTGGGTTTATCCAGATGGCCAAATGAGCCCACTTTGCCAAAATGTGTTTCTTCTACAGAATTCTTTTTTTCTGTTTCATTGCAGTGGTCTCCGGTTCATCATCCAACTCTAAGTATGACCCTGAGATCCTGAAAGCCGAAATTGCCACTGCAAAATCCCGGGTAGGGCCTCCTTGTCTGTGCTGTTGATGGAGGGGTCACTAAGGGAGCCTTGGACCAGTAGCCCCCAGCCCTACCCAAAAAAAAAGCAGAGTAAATCCTTCAACCGGGCAGTGGCAGCCAGTGCTGACTAACGAGGCCCTAAATAAACAGTAGTAGCAGTTGTTGTCCTCACCAGAGTAATAGTAACAGTAACAGCAGCTACCATCCATTCAACAACCAGTCACTCACTAGATACCAGGCATAGGGCTAAAAGCTTCATGTATCTTATCATCTCATGGCCTTACGGACAACCCCATGAAGTAGCTACTGTCAATATCTACATCTGAAGATGAGTCAGCAGAGACTTAAGGGAGAAGTGTCTCGCCCAAGGTCACCAGGGACTGAGGCTTAATGTGTAGTGCGCTGCCTTCCTAGCTACTGCTTGTTCTACTTGGTCTTATTTAATTGCGTCCTGAGTAGACACTGAAGCACAGCAAGGAAGCGATGTGTGTTCTAGGTAAAGTCAGTGTTTTGAACGCTGGTTTGCTTAACCTTCAGATGGGCTCTACAAACGCAGATGCCTGCTGGAAGCCATGAACGCAGGGAGAGGGCTGGGGGTGAGGCAGCAGGACGTGGTGGGGACTCTAACCTGGGGATAGATGTCCCGACTAAAGGCGTCGAAGCTCAGCCCTGACCTGCCGTGGCCGTGCAGGAATGTGGGCTCAGTGCTGGCAGGCCTTCAAGTATTTTTATTTTTTTTTCAAGTATTTTTAGAGAAGAGCTGCATATCTAGGCTTATTAAATAAAATTTCTCAATATTTAATTATTAGCAACTAAGTTTTAAAAATTGTAAAACCCAGCAGGCCATGCACAGCATCCCTGCAGGCTGGATCTGGCGCTCGGCCACGTCTCGTCTCTGAAGTTACTGGATTGCCTCTCGCGTCCATGCACAGCACCCCCACACCCATTACCTGCTCTGAATAACGCATGGCCCTGGGAATGGCCATCACTGTCATTCAGCAGAACCGGCAGGGAGGCTCAGAGATGAAAGATGCCTTGAAAGGGGCCACCCTGCTAGGTAGTGGGAAGTCCAAGCTCTATGGCCCGTCAGCCAGCTCCTGTCTACCCCTCTGTTTCCCTGGAGCAAGGCCTGGCTCTGGATGACGTGCAGAACATGGGGCTGGGATGCCGACTGAAGGGTCAGATGCACAGACCAAGGCAGCTCCGGCGAGGGGAGGGGATTGTGACCAATGTGACCCACGTGGTGTTGACCTGAGTCATTATGCAGACAGTGGGGGGACTCGGGTTCCCTCTGGGGAGAAGGCAGCCTGCAGCTCAATGCCGACCTCTTACCTCGTTCCGTTGTGTGCTTTTGTGTCACCCAGGTCAACAAGCTGAAGAGAGAGATGGTTCACCTCCAGCAGGAGCTGCAGTTCAAAGAGCGTGGCTTTCAGACCCTGAAGAAGTGAGTCCACTCCGTCGTGCTCCTCTCCTGCCCTCTGTCCTTGTCTCTTTCAGCCCCTTTCCTTCCTTCTCTAAATGTGGCTTTCTAACCATTCGATCCTGGTTCTAGTCCATTGGCATTTACTGACGATACCGCCACCCAAGGTTCAGGTTTAGAAAGAGAAAAGGGGAATCATTGCAGACCACAGAGTTCCCATCGTCCCCTGAATTTCCGAAACCATTCAAGTCTGTTCCATTCAGTTGAATTTTACAAGCTATGACTCAGTCGAGTCATAGAAACATGTGCTGTGGGGCATTTCTGTGTCCCCATCTCATCCCCTCCAGTTCACCCAGTAGAATCTCACAGGCACACCAACAAAACAAGCCCTTTTTTCCTCGGCCCCTAAAACCGAGCAGCGACATCCTCTGGTGTGCTCCACGGAAGTTAGCAAGCGTCTCTCCCACAGCAAACAAAGGACTCGAAGAGGATTTGATGGTGACTTACGGCGTTTCCAGGATAACTCAGGCCGAACATAATTTTCACTTTCAGAAGCTGACTTGCAGCCAAGCAAGATGCAGCTCTGTGGTTTCTTGAGAGCAGCCACATGCACTGTTGTCGTGGTTGTACTAGCTCAGAGCAGTCACTCCCTGCCAGGAAGCACTTTCCGTGTTTCTGCCTGGGTGACCTCGTTTGATCCTCATTGCAACTCCCTCAGAACTGTTCTTTTAGCTAACTCCATTTTGTCGATGAGGAAACTGAGTCACATAGTAAATGCTCAGGAAGGATTAGCTTACTATTGGTATTAATGACACGTATAAGCAAGCCTTACGCACTGCGTCACGTTCCGTGTATCTGATGGGCTCATGGGACAGTCATGACAAAGGTGCCTGGTCTTGGCAGCTCCGAGGAGGACATCCAGTAGGACATTCTCTGTACCCAGGGACATCTCTCTGAGATTCCCAGGGAGGTCACATCTGTACAGACAGCAGCTTCCATAGTCACTTCCCTTTTGTCTCTTCCTGATTGCACCTTTTCCTCATCCTCTGAACCTCAAATCGCCTTCTACCACCCTGAGGCCACAGCCCAAGCCTTTCGATGTCAAGCCCCAAGCCCAATGAATTGAGGGAACTTTCACCACCAGTTGAGGGGTCGGTTTGTTCTTACTCACATCTTTCCACCCCCAAGTCCCCAGAACCTGGGGTGAACCACCGTGAATCCCCCACAAGGTATAGGAAAGTGTGGCTTGGTAGTATAGATTGCGTGTTAATACATTTCTGTATTATAAATCACTACAAATTATGGTTTTATACATAATGTGCTTATAGAGATGTATGTTATTTACATACAGATAGACACACACTCAATCCTGTCTCAAACCGGATTCTAATCTCATAAAGGGATCGTGCTTTATTTTTCTCACTGATCTCTAGTGCTGCCAAGGACAGCTGTGGGCAACAAGGTGAGCTTAGCAAACGCTTATTTTTGACATGTAAAGCACGCGGCCTCCCCAGTCCTCCACTTCGCTCGCAGTGGAGCAGCTTGTGAGCGCGTAGTTTCAGGCTGTTCACTCCTGGGTGGCATCATCTTACCGCAGCGCCCTCCCCTCCCCTCCGCCCCCTTCCTGCAGTCCTCAGGAGCTTCTGGTGAGAACATTTCCCATTATTCTCTGAGCCACCACAAACCTGTTTTACCACTTTGTCGCCCTGTAGCAGCATTGAAAATTCTTGTCGTTTGGTAAACTGAGCTGAAACCCCAAAGACAAGCCTCCTTTTGATTCCTTCCCTCCTCCCACCCCAACGTTTGATATCAGCCCAGATAAGGAAGACCGCCGCAGCTCCGGGTGCCCACGCTCCCCAGCCGGAAGCCGGCGCCCGTGTTCAGTTCGCGGGGGGAACTTCTGCTTTAATGCACACCTTGGCATAGGGGCTTCAGACGGTAGCCTCAAGGGGAGATGGCTTGGGCTCCAGTGTGTTTCCTGGAACCTCTGAGCTTCAGTTTCACTTGACAATGAAAAATCAGTCATTGTCAAGTTCGAGTTGGAAAAGCTGCATCCACTGTGTGCCGGTGCCTGGCCCGTAGGGCGAGCCCAGTGCGGATCAGGGGAGTGGATGACCTCTAGCTAGCTGCCTGCTTGACCTTGAGAAGGAACTCGGATGAGCTAAATGTCTGCCCTGCGCTAGAGGCCGTGCTGCGTGAGCACTGTGCCTCAGTTATTACCTCATGTCATTGCCTCTACCCTGTTAAGAGAAGTTTTTGTTCTGACCCATTTTATAGATGAGGCACTGATGGGGTCGGAAATATACCCAAGGCCCCCCAGCTAGTAAGTGCCAGAGCTGGGATTTGAACCCAGCACTGTTGAATATTGGGGCTTGTTTCCTAATACCTCTCCCCCCAGCATCATCCCAGGTAACCCCCTCTCCATCCAGAAAGCGTAAGGCCCCTTTGCCATCCTTTGTCTCGCTTGGGCTCCTTTTCAGAGTCTAGTAGGGGACAATGCAGTCACTTCTACTTCCTGTCCTCCCTTCTTTGCGTTACACGGGGTAAGGGGAACGTATCCGTTTGTTCAGTTCATGGTCACCAACCCCCGTTTTCAAAAGAAAACAGGTTGAGGACTGAAGGGTACTTCTTAGAGGAGCCTGAAAAATGCAGTCGAAAGCTGGGGATTTGGGCCTGCCAGCCGCCTCGAGCCCGTGTAAATAGGAAAGAGTTGAGACTTGGCACATCACCCCCGTGGGAGGATGGCAGCGTGGTATCTTTCTGCATGTCCCCCACGCCGCCCTGCCCAGAGGAGAGTTGCCCGGACAAGAGCGAGAGGAGCTGGCTGCCATCAGAGCCTTTGCCTTGCTTGTCTGTGGTTGTCCTCTGGCGACCAGGCGTGTGAATCTCTGGTGTGCTGAGAGAAAGGACAGCTGTGTAATTTGGAAATCCTAAAACACATGTACCCCCCTCCCCCCCACAACCACACAACTTTTCTTTTCCCTTAAAAAAAAAAAAAGATTCATTCACTGAGCACATAATAGTGACCCTTTGTTCCCCTCCCCCCACCCCAATCCCCAGAGTGTTCCCTCTCGAGAGCCAAATTCCAGAACTGGGGTTGCTAAGGTTCCTGAGAGAAATCAGGTAGAGGCTGTCTGAGGAGCCGGAGGCCCGGAGACAGACCGCTTCTGTCTCCTCCTACTGAGGATTCAAAGCCATCCTCACCCTGTTGGCAGAGGGCAGCTGGGCACAGTCCCCTCCCCAGAGCCCCCAGCCCCTGCATATACTCCAGGAAACAGTGTCTCCCCTGCACCCCACCCGCACCCCCATTTGGGACAGGGCCTCCTCCAGCCCTGCACATGCGCTAACAGGAATCCTCCCGTCCGCGGGGCATCTTGGGCAGGCCTCCGCTGGGGAAAGCTCCCTTTAGACTAATTTCTCAAACTAAATCTGAGACCAGTCTTCGCTGACCTGGCAGGCTTGCCCAGGCCCAAGTCCTCGAAAGGAATAGACAGGCTATTTTTAGTGGGGAGACATAAATGGGGCTTTGTATTCTCTCCACAGAGGCTGAAATAACGGAAGGGCAGGGAAGGGGGAGGGCTGTGCTGAGGCGGTGGTCCCTCCCTCTCTCCCTCCTTCTCTCCCTCTTCCACTCTTGCTCAGAGGCTAAGACGATGAGACCAGGATGAAAACCTGCTCCCCGCCAGTGATTCCCCACTCAGGTTATTTTTAGCCCAGGACAATTTGGCCTCTAGCAGGAAACCAGAGAGAAATGCCTCTGAGCAGTTCATCCTGAAATAATGGGTTTGTGGTGTTCCCTCAGACTGTAAAACTTCCTTTTCTCCACCTGGAACTGAAACCTCAGACTTCTCCGTGGGCGAAAGTGCGAAGCAGTTAAAATTCTTCTCTGCCCTCAGACCCTTTGCACACCACAGCCCTCCTATCCCCAGAGGGTTGGGATCCACCGTGTTTGGTTTGATCTGACCCTCAGGAAACACCACGATCCTCAACTTTTTTTTTTCCTTCCCCTCCCCATCAAAATGAGCCTGTGCAGGACCCCGATGAGTCAATGAGTGCTCCCGGCTGGAAGTATTTGAATCCCTTACTTTTGTCTAGTACTTCCCAGTTCACCACACGACTTTCCATCCTGTATCCCACGTGCCCGTTCCTAACAGCTCTGTTGACATAGGCGGGGCAGACAACATTATCCAGCTTATTTTAGAGGGAGAAACTGAGGCTCCTTGTGGTATCACATTATGAAGTGGTAGGTCTGGGGGCGTTTCATCCTTCTAAGCTTTCTTTCATTGTGTTGTCAACTCCACTCACGTTTATTGAAGAGGGTAATTTTGCTCCTCTCCCCCAGACGACATTAGGCACAGTATGGAAGCCTTTTGGGTTGTCACAACTTGGGATCAAGATGCTACTGGCATCTAGTGGGAAGAGGCCGGGGGTGACACTAAACATCCTACAATACAGGACGGCCCCCTCCCCCCACAACAGAGACTAATCCAGCCTCAAATATCAAGAGTTCTGAGGGTGAGAGATTAAAGAACTAGTCTATGCCACATACTAAAACTACTCAAATATATTCAAGCCTGCCAGAGTCAAGTTAAGGACACTGCCACATAAATTATTAATTATAACACAACGTAGTGAGTTCAGTGTCGCATCTATGTGCAATGTGTTATGGGAACACCTAGCCCTGCCTGGAGGACCCAGGGAGGTAATCACGGAAAGCTTCCTGTAAGAGCTGACACTGAGAGGATCCTTGACCTCAAGAGCGGTATTGCTTCTGCCACCCCGCACTATGGGACATTTGCAATTTAACAGGGTCCTTCTGTGTCTCGTCCCATAGGCAGGACAGAGAGGAGACTTCTTGAGGGAATGGAGCACTGTGGCCTGTGCTTTCCCCCTGGGGAAACCCCATCTCTCGTCCCATCTTTGTCTGACTTTTCCCGTTGACTCTCTCCTAGAATCGATAAGAAAATGTCCGATGCTCAAGGCAGCTACAAGCTGGATGAAGCTCAGGCTGTTTTAAGAGAGACCAAAGCCATCAAAAAGGCCATCACCTGTGGAGAAAAGGAAAAGCAAGATCTCATTAAGGTATGAGGGTCCCCGTGACGTGGCCCCTTCTCCATTTCTCCCGCACGCTGCTCTGTGCCAGGACTCATGCAGGCTATTTCCACATGCTGCACAGATCCCTGAGTTCTCATCCCTAGTTCTCCTGAGCGTTCAGTCTCATTGTATAGGGGAGGAAATGGAGGTTCAGAAGCATGAAGTGACTTGCCTACGGTCACGCAGCTAGTGTGAATGGCAGAGTTGGAACAGGACCCCTTGAGCCCAAAGGCCATGTCCTTGCCACTAGTTCGAGCCACTGGGCTTACTTTTCAAAGAACCAAATGGAGGGAGGCGTTTCAGCATCATTAACCTTGACATCAAAATGTAGCATCTTTATAAGCGTCTCATTGCGTGTTCTGACTCTATGCCGGGAACTGAACAGCCGATAATAGATGTGATTTAATGTGCCAGGCAGTTGTGCCAAGCACTTTGCATGCGCCTCACTTATTCCTCATATCAACCTGCTTTGTCCCCATCATACAGATAAAGACTGTTCAGCTCAGAGAGCACGTGGCAGAGCCAGAATACAAACCCATGAACACCTGTCCCAGAAGCCCCTTCTCTCAACCCGTGTCCATCTCACTGCCTCTCCCAGGAGCCACCCTGACCTCTGAGATACGATTATCCTCGTCAGTGGATTAGGATCCTGAGGCCCAGAGATGCTATAAATGACTCGGTGAAGGAAGCTTTATGCTCTGTCACAGAATCATTTCGAAGCTCCCGCCCAGAACAGCAGCCCAGAGAGAGCATTGAGACGAGGCCCGAGCAGACAGTAAGGCATGTTCCTGTCACGATGAGCAAGCAGCTCAGAGCCCCGAGTCTCAAGTCAGATAGCCCAGGACCAAACCCTGGCTATGCCAAGTGCCAGCTTCTCCATGTCACAGCTCCCTCATGGATAAATGGGGATAATCGCGTGTCTTTCCTGGCAGGACTATGGTCAGGCTTACTATGGTCAGGCTTAAATAAGATCGTGGCAAAGCTGACAGTTCCCAAGTATGGGATGTACTCACGCTTTACATCGGTCACCCTGTTTAATCAGAATGGTAGCCATGTGAGGCAGGATCTGTGATTGTTCCCATTTTGCAGGAGAGGAAACTGAGGCACAGAGAGGTTTATCAGCGAGCTCCGATCACACAGCTAGGAACCAGCAGAGCAGGGGTTCCAATTCAGACAGTGTAACTCCAGATCCAGCGTCCACACCATGTTCGCCCTTGGAAGGGTCCTGGCACAGTGCCTGGCACCTGCTAAGTACCCACTCACTGCTAACTCTTTATAAGATGAGTAGAATGTCTAGATGAGCATGGGTTCCTACTAACTTACGAAAGGTGGAGAGAAAGGCACATGGAGTGCGACAGGCCCAGAGCTCCCTCCCAGGAAGGCGTGTCACTCACCCAGCCCTCCCCCCCTTCAGAGCCTTGCCATGCTGAAGGATGGCTTTCGCACCGATAGAGGGTCCCACTCTGACCTGTGGTCCAGCAGCAGCTCTCTGGAGAGTTCCGGTTTCCTGCTGCCGAAACAGTACCTGGACGTGAGCTCACAGACAGACATCTCGGGAAGTGTGAGTATGCGGTGCGCGCTGCTGGGGGCCAGCCTGGGGAAGCTGCTGTTGCGATGGGTGGCCGCCTTCTCGTTCCTCAACCGGGGAGCTGGTTGGTGGCTCTCGGTTGGGGCTGGCTGCTAACTCAGCCTCTTGGAGCTCCGTTCTCTTGCAGACCTCCTGGCCCCAGCATGACAGTAGATGATGGGGTGAGGATAAAGCAGCACTAACTCCATAACCTGAATGTTGCCTGGCCACGTGCTTGTGTCTCTAGATATTGCACAGAGAGTGTTCTTGAAGGACCAAGGGTCTTGCTCTGATTTCCTTCATACCATTTTGCAGCAGTGTTCTGTTTTGGTTTCAGCAGCTGGAAAACAGGATATTTCCCTCCTGTTCATCCCCAAACAATGCTGCAGCTTTCAGACAGCTGCTGAACCCCCCAGTTGAAAAGCTCAGTCTCGTCATAAAATTGAATCGTGCAAGTCGGTCCAGACGTAGCTCAAGAAAGCCAAGAGTAGGACTGACCCGTGGCAAGCTGTTATTTTTGGAGAGCTTTTGTTTTCCTAGAGCAGGTGCCATTGAACAAACTCTTCTCCCAGCCTCCGCGGCTAAAATGCTATTCCTATCTGATTCCTATAGTTGGGTTCCCACTTGTGAAGAGAAGCTGTGTCTACGTCTGATTTGGTGAGCCTTGCGGCTTCTCGCCGCTCTTGTCAGACTGGCACGGCCAACGGGGCTGCCCCCTCCTCTCCCACACCACCCATGTATGCATCTGTGAGCCACCTGTGGGCCAACGTATTTGTGAAGGAACTGTGTGCCTCCGTTCACTTCTAGGACCTTCTCCTCGCTCACCCAGTGTTGCGCTCCTGACTGCAGCCTCCTGACTTTTCTGTTGAGCCCGTCCCCAGTGCCCTCAGAATGGCTTCCTTGTATATTGGCTGTCCCTGTTTCCTCCTGACGAGCTGTCCTCCATGCTTCTGTGGCTTGAATGGGCTCCAAGCCATTTGTGGCTGCAAGATGATATTTCGGGGCCTCGGCTTCTCGTCTAGGCGTGATTGAAGTCTGCATTTGGGGCTCTTCCCACGGCCTGAAGGAAGGAGAATTTTTGCCTCACTAGCTTCCTTGCAATCTGCACAGCCGGCTTAGTAATTGGGGGATATTCTTAGCTACTTCCCACGCAAGCTGTCAAGTCTCTCCTGAGTTCTTGAAACCCAACTCAGCACTGGCCACAACAGCCATATAATTCCTGACTTTATTCTTCCCTCCAGTTCGGCAACAGCAGCAACAATCAGTTGGCAGAGAAGGTTAGATTGTGCCTTCGATATGAAGAGGCGAAGAGAAGGTAATGAGAGGCTGGGGACCGGGGGTGGGATGGTTCCAAGAATAATAATAATAATAATTAATAATAATAATAATAACTACTCTTGTAGAGGGTCTGCGCTGTGCCTGGCTTTTTACATGCCTCGTCTTGTTTAATCCTACAAAGGTTATGAAGATAGATATTATAATCCTCATGTTTTAACCCTCTCTGAAACTCAGGAGAGGACGTGACTGACCCAGGGACACTTAGATAAGATAAAACATGGAGCTATGCTTTGAATCCAGATCTCTTAAACCTCAGAGCCTAGTTCGTTATCTTTCCCCTTGCCAGCCTCAGTTTCTACAGTCAGGGTTTTCCAGTGATCCTGTGTGCAGTTTAGTTTGAAGGAGCACAACTAGGCATTTAGCAACAGGCTAAAAACACTACGATCCTTCCCGCTTTAGTGTTTCCTGCCCAGCTGGGAGCAAGCTGTGCTTTTAAACTGTGTGGAGACCCCAGTGACTTGACATGTTTTGTGGCTTCACAGACTCCTAAGCAGTCGAGTTCCACTGCCACAAATAAAATAATAATCAAAGCTGACGTATTTAGAGCATCTGTTATGGGCCAGGCATTGTACTAAAAACAGTTGTATGTGCATTGTCTCATGTAATTTTAAAAGCAGCCTTAGAGCATAGCTTAGATCATGTTTATGTTAGAGAGGAGAAAGCTAAGATCAAAATGTTTTGTGACTTTTAAGGTGGCAGAGTCAAAATTTGAATCCTTGGATGATCTGCCTTCAAGTTCATGATCTTCCTAGACACTGAACCAGCTTACTGGGAGGGGAACCACAGGGCAATGTGCTGGTGAATGAAATCAGACATGTTGCATCCATTCCTCCTTAGGCTAAGTTGCCTGGCCCATGGACCTGCGAAGCCAGGCCAGGTGGAATGTGGCAGTGCCCAGCTCTCCCCTCGCTCAGCTCTCTGTGAGCAGCAGAACCCTTTGCAGCAATGATAGAAATTCGATAGAAACTAGAGGAACTAAAAAAAAAAAAAAAGGCATTTCTTGGCTTATTGAACTGCAAAGTACTGGGGTAAAGTAGCTTCAGGCACAGCTGGATCCAAGGACGGAAATGCTATTACACAGACTCGGTCTCTCTCCCTTCCTCCACTCTGCTTGCCTTTGTGTTGCCAGACTTCCCTGTCAAAGTGGCAAGATGACCCCTAGCAGTTCTCAGCTGACTTTCTCCCAGGTTAGCAACCCTAGCTGAAAGAATGCCTACCTTTCCCAACAGTTTTAACAAGTTTGGGGGCGGAGACTCAACTGGCTCTTCTGAGTAAACCAATCATTGTTGCAGGATGCGGGGAATTAGAATCCTCTGCAGGTCCAGGCATTCAGGCACAGGTCATGCGCCCAACTCTTATCTAGGAGGGAGATTGAAGTCAGCTTTGTGGGAACCAGTAGACTTAAAAATATGGGAGGAGTGATTTCCCAAAGAAAACTTGGAATATTAACAACAGAAGGAACAATTGGATACTGATCAGGTAGAAAAAAACATGTCCTGTGCACCATTTCAGCTCCCCCTAGAGGCCCAGCAAAACAACAGGCCTTCTGCACTTGGACAGCCACTTGTCCCCTCTGAAGGGGACCACTGTGAACCCTAGACCTGTTCCAGCCTGCAGCAATGCCTGTCTTAGGTGATCAGATCTGCAGAGACTAAAGGGTTGGAATCTTCCCTCTGGGGTGGAGCCATTAACCTCATCACAGAAAGAAGCTGCATCACTTCTCATCTCATTTCATCCTGGCTTATCTGCCTTTATGCAGCTTTGTCCACTGCCCCCACCCCCAAGCTAGTAAGGGACAGAGCAGCCTGCTGAAATGGAAGGCAGAGGCTGTAGGACTTGACGGAGGGAGGGCTGATGGCTGTAATGCAAGGTCTGGTCACTGTATGCCAAGCTTCGTCGCATATGCATTTCTGCGGAGTGAGTCTAGTAGTTTTCATCAGATGTTCCAAAGACTATATGGCCCTGAGTTTAAGGAGCACTGGCGTAGAGAAAGTGCTACTAGAAAGAACATCCAAGAAAGCATCAATCACCCCTTCAACGCCCCACGTGTAATGGAGCCCCTGCCAGACCCGGCCATACGACTCTATTCTCAAAGCAGCTGGGGAACAGCAGCTATGAAGTTGTTCCAAAGCCCGTCTTGATGGATTGCTATATATGTGAATATGGAGTCTAAATTAATTAACTCTAAGAATCCCTGCTGAGACACTTGGCTGGGAAATGAGCAAACCTAGCCGTGTCTCTCTGTATGGAATTTTCACTACACAACATGGAGATCTTGTCTCCAGCAGTGTTTTCTTAAACTAATAGTTGGGCCACGTTGTCTGCACATATGATCAAACTGGGAGTCCAGAGGCGTGGGCTCTCAACACCTCATGGCCATGCTGATGACTCGCAGGCTTGAGTGAGCCGTGTCTTCTCTGGACATCTGTCCAAGAGGATTAACCACCAGGTCTTACCCCCTCCCCTGGGAGCGGGCTAAGGCTAGGACATGGTAGCTGAAAGCACTTTGGAAAGACTAAATCCTAAAGGATCACATGACTGCTTTTAGATATTTGTGTTAGTACTCTTAATCATACTATGAATCTTAATTTGGCCCAACAATAACCATACCTACTACCTAAAAGCACTTGGCAGGGTTGGCCAAGTGGCTCAGTTGGTTAAGAGTTGGCTTAAGAGCGCGAGCTCTGAGCAACAGGGCCGCTGATTCGATTCCCACATGGGCCAGTGACGCTGCGCCCGAGCTGAGCTGCCACTGAGCTGCCAACAGGTGGCAGGATGGCTCAGCTGGTGAAACAACAAGACTGCCTGTTCGATGGTGGGCTATGCCCACCTGCAACTAAGACTGAACTCGGCACCTTGAGCTGAGCTGCCGCCCAGATGGCTCAGTGGATAGAGCATGCACTCTTAACAAGGCTGCTGGTTCGACTTCCACATAGGATGGTGGCTACGCCCATCCGCAACTAAGATTGAACACAGCACCTTGAGTTTAGAAGCCACAAGCTGCCGACGGGCAGCCAGATGGCGACAGGCGTCCTCCATAACGCAGATTGAAGAACAACACTTGGCTGGTGCCCTTCCCCAATTCCCCAACACTGTTCCCCTCCTCCAATTCCCCAATAAAATCTTTAAAAATACATAATAAATAAATTAATTAATTAATTAAACAAAATACAAAATAAGTAAATAAAAGCACTTGGCAGTATATAAAGAGCTCTTAACGATAAGGTTCTCACTTGGTCCTCATAACCCATCTTGCAGGTACCATTATTATCCCCACCTTACAGATGCGGATACTGAGTGTCAAAGCAGTTAAGGGATAGGGTTCCCAGCTCCCTCCTTTAACATTGATTAAGTGCCTGCAGTGTTCCAGGCACTGTGCTGGAAGCCCGTGATACCAAAGTGATTTCTTAACAAAAGTTCCCTTTTGTCAAGAAGGCCAGAGCCAGGACTCTATCTCAAGGCCTCTGGCTCCAAATCCACAGTTGCTCACACTGCTGCCGCCACTTTGAACTGGGGACACATAGTTAGCAGCTGCAATATTTGCTGTCGATGCAGTAGGGCCCATGACTGCCACCGGCTTAGCCCCTGTTATGTCCCTGACATGCTGGATACATTTTTGCTCATTTTCACAGTTCCAAAGCGTGAACAATTGTTTTCTTATCTGTGAAGCTCATGGAGTTTGCCCGATGTTCAACACCCGATAAACAGTCAAACCAGATAATAACAACAGAGGCAGCAGAAGCATTTATTGAGTGCTTACTATGTGCCAAGTACTGTGCTTTGAGCATTTGTGGATTGTGTCATTAAGCTTTCACTCATAACCGACGAAAGAGCTTGTGTGACTCCCCTCAGAGAGATGGTGTGACTTGTCCAGGGTCACAGAGTGAGTGGTAAGAGGCTATTGCCTAGTGCTGAATCCAGCTTTGTATACCGCCAGGCTCAGTTTCCCCCAGGGCAAGGACATGGCCTGGTTTGTGTCTACCCCGTCCGTGCAGTGTCCTCACTATTGGCACATGGCAAGCACCACATGAGTCTGTTAGATAACAATGTGTTCCTTGAGATGCAAGGAGGCCAGTAACTGTCAAGTCACTCCAAGGCTGTCATGGCTCCTCATACCTCAAAACCTTGGACACGCAGTCGGGAACTCCGCTCCCGCAGTGCCATGGGCACACCATTCACGCTCACCTTCTCGGCCCACAGGATCGCCAACCTGAAGATTCAGCTGGCCAAACTGGACAGTGAGGCCTGGCCTGGAGTGCTGGACTCGGAGAGGGACCGGCTGATCCTCATCAATGAGAAAGAGGAGCTGCTAAAGGAGATGCACTTTATCAGCCCCCGGAAGTGGGCGCAGGGCGAGGTGGAGCAGCTGGAGGTGGCCCG